ATGTGTGGAATATTGTTAATTGAGCCTTACAACTTGCTCAACAATATGAAAGTAAACAAGATTTTATCAACACGAACAACATCCAGAACCAAATCAGAAAAAGCCTTTTAATTCAGAAACAAAGAAGTCCCTTATGATTTTATGAATAAACTTGTCCAGAAGTTTAAGAAGATATATCTTAAATTTATCGAACAAATTAAAAGAAAACAAGTTATTACTTCAAATCCAATATTTATAGCATACTGCATTTTTTTTCGCAGCTCATTTACTTAATGTCGGAAATAGGTTACAAAAATTGTATTATAAAAAGTTTTTTCATCTATTTAGCATTCAAATTTTTATTTAAAAAACTTTACTTATAATAGTACCATCGATTCGCACTTGCATACTGTATACAGTAGTCATTGAATCTATCTGCACATATATCCATGAAAGGTGTAGTAGTATATTGCACGCTCCTCATGAATTAGTTGCTATGAAATGCAACATTTAGGTCCTTTTACCGTTTTTTGCAACTGCACTAATTGCTTTAGTCGTTTATTAGCTTCTATCAGATTGCCGTGGCGTTCATAATGGCAACGATTATATGGTAATTTATCATGACGGAATCCATATTTAAGATTGCGTCCAGGATCTTTGATATAGATGTAAACACCACCGTCGGAAGTGATGATACCCGTACTACAGAGCATCTCCTTGGCATTCCATAGAACTCCGTCCAGAGTAGTTAACAAACAATTCTTCGTATATACGGTAAAATGCAATCCTTCAATGAGTAATTCGGTCGGACTAAGGATAAATTCTACTTTATTTGAACCTAAATAATCAAACAATTGTTTTGAAATAAATTGAGCAAATGCTTCAACGGATTCAGGCTCAAGTTGTTGTATTTGATCTGCATAAATTCCGTCTATTTTTTCCGCGACCTCTTTAAAAAGAATCTTCATTGTTTCATTATCCTCTTCCAATGTGTTTATAATTTGTTCTGCCTTAAGCATCATCTTACCAGTGTGTATCGATTGAATCATATTTGCTATTGCCTTTACAAGTTCTTTAGGATCTATTGTTACGGATACCCCACATTCTGTACCTACGCTTACAGTAGGGAT